CAAATGCATGGAGAAGCTGATTAAGGAATACGTATGTCGACATCTACTGCGTTACACCCTACTAAGCGGGGCGCAGCACGTACTCTCAAAACATGGATCGTGTTTCACTAACCTTCTATGCCATCCGGATGAAGTCACAGAAAAGCTGAATGAGAGCCATGCCATTGAGGTTTGCTACCTCGATTTTAGCAAACCTTTCGATTCTGTGAACCACAGATTGCTCCTTCATAAAATCAAAAGCTTTGGGCTAGTAAGAAATCTGTATAGGTGGTTAAGCGCTTTCCTCGGAAATATAACCTTCGCAGTGAGGATAGGGAAGGCTAGTTCTAAGGTCATTCGAGTGACCAGTGGAGTGCCTCAAGGTTCGGTTCTGGGACCGTTGCTCTCCCATTTATTTATCAACGCCTTGGCGGGGTTAACCAACTCACCCTGTTTCGTCTTCGCGGATGACGTAAAGGTGGTGGGATTGAGTGGCAGGGCTGACCTAGAGAGGGAAATTGAACGGGNCACCGAATGCGGCCAAGTGTCAACTATTGACCATGCAAAAGGATCCATTAGTTGCTATCGGTACGCGTGGAGTGTTCGAAGTTCAACCGGTAGAAATTGCCAAGGATCTTGGAGTAGTAATGTATTCAGACTTCAGCTGGGGTAACCAATGTGAAATCGTAGTTCATAAGGCACGGGGAGACATTTTCCTGCTCAGATCAGCTCTATCTGGTAGAAAATCGGGAATCTTTGTTCCGCCGTACACAGAAATAATAAGGCTCCATTTAGAATACTATGTCCAAGCCTGGGCACCTCTGCACAAAAAGGACGCCGTCTGCCTGAAGAAATTGTAGAGATTAGCTACAGGAATGGTAGAGGAGTAGAGAGGTAAATCACATCAGGAAAAACTAAGAGACCTCGATCTATTTTCGCTAGAAAGAAGGTGAATTACAGGAGACCTTATAGAAGAGTTTAAAATTAGGAGGGGATTCTCTGGGATTCCTCCCAAAGAACTCTTTACTAATGCCCCGTATGCTGGTATCATGGGTTACGAGTACAAATTGATGAAGAAAAGGAATAGGTTAGGTGTGAGGTTTAACCGTTTTAGTGGTAAAATAGTCAGCAGGTGAAATAAACTACCCGAGGCACTTGTCTAGTGTTCACGCCTTTGAACTGGCTTTGGATAAGAGGTGTTTAGAACTGTTCCCAAACGAGAAGTACTGAACAGGTTGCGAATGTTAAGTTCACAACATTTTTGTGTGCAATATGGAGAAATTCCACATTAAAAGTCTCTCACGAATTCGTTGAGAAGTAGAGTTTATTTTTCTCTCTGTCTGCAGATAGACGAAGAAATCGAGCAATTGAAGAGGTGGATGCACACTCGTGAACACACCACCGAAGGAATTCTGGACGATCGATTGGCCGTGGCCACTACCAGTTCCGAGTAACCTGACCTGACCTGACCAGGCCTACGTTTTGAGCGTGCACAGAACCCAAAGTAACCTATATTAGCCCACCAACGATATGCCTGAGGTCTTTATTACTCCGGAGGACGTAGATAAGGCCTTGTCCAACCTCAATCCAAACTAATCCTCCGGTCTTGATGATGTCCATTCTTCCATCAGTATTCACGTCAGATCATTACTAAGCCCCGAACTGGCCTCCCCATTCAATATGTCTCTCTCCCTGTGCGACATACCTTCAGGCTGGAAGAATGTAACCATAGTTCCTGTTTTCAAAGACGAAGATAGGTCCAGTATATCAAACTACAGACCTATTAGCCTAACCAGTATGGTAACTTAAACGCTTGAGCGCATCCTGCGAGACAAGATATGCTCCTTTCTATTCAACATAGGCTTCTTCAGCGGGGCATGGATTCATTAAGGGTAAATCCTGTCTCTCGAATCTCCTTACCTTCCTGGAAGTTATAACGGACAGAGTGGACAGAGGCATTCAGGTCGATGTATGCTATTTAGATTTCCAAAAAGCCTTCGACTCCGAGAACCACCGACTATTGAGCTTCAAACTTGGAAAAGCAGGAATCTCCAAGGCCATATGCGACTGGATGGAAAACCTACTCTCCGGTCATCAATTCCCCGTCAAAGTTCGAGAGGCTCACTCGGACGCTGGATCCCCTACCAGCGGAATTCCCCAAAGTTGTACACTTGCGCCAGTACTCTTTCTCATCATGGACGATATCACCGAATGCCTTGAAACTCCCTGTTTCCTCTATACTGAAGACGTTAAGTTGGTGGAAAACAGTAATCAACTAGACACCATACAAGCTGACATCCAAAAAAATTTGTGAATGGTCAGCCAAATGGGATCTACCGCTCAACGCGCTGAAGAACCACATGCATTCACGCATCGCAGGTCCTTCAATCTTCGTCGCCAACCTTCTTGGGATTTTGGAACTCCTACCGTCGAAGAACGGTACGACAGACTTAGGGATAAGGGTAACAACCAAGTTGACCCTATCTGCAGCATGCGGCGCAGCAGCTTTAAAGGCCCATAAAGCATTATTCTGTCTTAAAACCGCCATAACGAACAGAAAAGCCGAAGTCTTCATCCCGTTATATCTAGCCTTCGTCCCTCCACACCTTGAATACTATGATCAAGCGTGGGCCCCATTTCTCCGTAAGGATATCCGGAGGCTGGAGCAACTCCAAAAGCTCGCTACCCGAATGGAATGGGGAATGAAGCAGCTGAGCTACAGAAAAAATTCTCTTTGCACTAAATCTCTTCTCTCTCGAAAGACGCAGACTACGAGGAGATCTGATTGTGGGTGATTGTGGGTGGTCTCAAAAAGCCAAAAAAAATATAAAAGAA